AATCGTTTTCTATTTTATTTTTTACTACTGTTTTAAGTGTTTTTCTATTCTGCTCGGTACCGCAGAGGTACCGAGCAGAACAGCCGAGCCGAATGCCGCTCGGCAGCATTCGGCTATTCACTCACTGCTGTTCGGCATCTATGAGAATAGGCCGAACAGAGCGAGTAGCCTGCCGGAGGTTCGGCATAGCCCATCCAGATGTTGGATCGGCTGAGTCGAACTCCTTCTGCACTTTGGGTCGGCCGAACATGCTGAGCATGTTCGGCCGACCCAAAGCCAGCCGAAGCCACCCGATGTATAGCTTATTTCAGCCAATATACGGCTGGAATCAGCCGTACCAGCCTGAAGTGAATAGCCGAACAGCGTTCGGCTCACTTCGCTTCGGGTCGGTTAGTCACTCGGCTGCCTACGGCAGCTTAGTGAATAGACCCCTCTGTCACCTTTAGAACACATCTTACAGAGAAACTGATTTCTAGAAATTTCTATGTCTGTCAGTGTCCGTTGGAAGGTTTTCTACCACTTAATGGTGACAAAAAGTAAGGAAATTTTCTATACAGCGACAGTTAACAAAAATCAGAGAGAGGTTCTGAGTCTTCTCTATTCTAATAAATGCTCAAGTGCAGTATGTGTCCCCAATAAAAAGATTGTCCTCACTTCTTGTTTCAGTATCAAGACCAGAAGAGAAGATAAATCTCCCCAGCCAACACACAAACAGCAATAAAAAAACCCTCCCCCTAATCCACACTATTCATAACGAAAAAAAAGTTTTTGCTGGAGACCCAGTGGACATGCATTCAGGAAGACAATTCATTTATAGCCCACTTTAAAACACTATGTAAATCAAAAATGCTACATGGAATGTCTTTCGCCCGAATATTTCAGGGTGACATTCAGGGTCATGGTAAAATACTATAGGAAGGTGTCCTGCAATAGAACAGACATTATACTCACCTCTGAATCTTGCCTCCTCCATTCCAGTGATGCACCTTTTGTCAAATTACTGAGCCTTCAACACTTCCCGGAGTGTTAGATGTCTGTGTTCCCTGCTGCCCTGTAGTTTAACTCTCAGATTCCTACATCACTTCTGAGTCCTACAGTGATGTAGGTGTCAGAGCAAGGAATTACAGAGCGTGGTGCAGGACATGGGCTAAAGTGTCTGACAGAGGCTGCAAAGTTGGAATGGTGGGAAAGCAGGAGACCTGTGCCACCAGAGAGGTAAGAAAGATACCTGTTCTATTGCGGATAACATCTTTTAGGATGGTATTTTCCTTGATAGGGTCACTTTAACAATAAACTGCAAGATTTTTTGAGCAAACGTTATTGCAGATTACTTCTATTTTAAAGTTACTAGACATCATAGTTACCCTCCAAGGCAGAAATGTTTCAAAATAGGCACGCACCAAGATTTGCATTTACTATAAAATTTACTTATTTTCTGTGTTGTAAGAAAGATTGCATTGTCAGCCTCTGATGTTTACACGCTGCAAATATCTCATCAGAGGTTGAACCAATAGTACACTAAATCATTCCAATGAACCAAGTACACTAAAGTAAGGTAAAACGGAGTTAGCTTTAGGCAAATACAAGAACAATCACAGACACTTATAGACCTTTGTCATTATGCTACAAGCATAACTTCATTTTTACTTTAGTTGCCATTTAAGGTACACAATAAAAGTGAATAGGTTGCTGTAGATGGTACTATTGTGAAAAACGTTTAATACTTTTTTTTCTATATGTCCTACTTCCAATTAGGATATATCGGCAAGTAGTATTCCTTTCTTAAGCTGGCCATACACCTTACGATTATCGCACAACACTTTTCGTCCGATGATCGAAACGTCGTACGATTTTGCCTATCCTGCCTCGATTATAGCGAGGTTCAATTAGCCATAATTAAAGAAAAGCACCTGAACGAATTGCGGCAATCGACCACACGTATTTTCGTTTGCGCATGAGCAGTGTAGTTCGTACGATTTTTGACGTACGTAAACACCACTAACCTTGCGAAAATCGTATGATCGACCAAAGTTTTCAAACCTGCTTGAAAGTCAAAAGTTGTACGATTGTATCTGTATGTATGAAGTATCTACAAAGGGTCTATCAGATCTGCACAGTGCAGGAATAGAAAACATCCACATAGTAAGGAAAAACTGTATTTTTTAACAAAAAAGATATGCAGTGCTACTTTAAAAGAGAACTTTGGCCCAACCTTTTTTGGCCATAGTTCTCCTGTCCACCACACCACCTGATTAACAGCTGGCCCTGCCTCTCCAGAGAGGAGAGTGTCAGAGAGAGGAGGCTGAGCTTGTCTGTGGACTAAGGTAAGGATATTTGTTTTCCTCTTAATGGCAGGTGCAGTGTCACATGTCGACTCTAATTATGGGAATAAGTGTATACTTTTGTGAGAGATTTGCTCTACTTCAAATAAAAACACCTTGCACATTAAACCTGGACTAAAGATATTAACTCTTTTAAAACATTCAATTTGCTTTAACAGGAAAAAATCATTTCTGATCCCCAAAGACAAGATGATACTCACCAAAAAAATGCCTGTGCATGAGTAATGCACAAGCTAAAAAAGTCACACTGAGAGCAGAGGTAGGTTAATTTAAAAAGGTTTACTTTATTGAATCACAACTACAAAAATGTATTGCACCACTACCTGAAACACCATTAAAATAACAATTGACAATGTTGTCACGCTCACACACCCATCCAAGCTGGCGGGCCCCCACACACACACCCAAGGTATAGTATATGTAATCTTGGCTGTTTGCTAATTCTAATTAAAATGACCAGCTTTAATTTGACAATATTGCCATTAGTGATGAGCCGAACAGATTCGAGTTTGGTTCAAATTTGAACT